GTTTAGAGGGAGCTGCAAGCTAACAGCTGGGGAAACACTTGTATCCTTGTTTTTGAGGATGGCTTTGTGGCTTCTAAACTGTCTTGCTTCACTAGCTGCCTATTATATTATCATAAAGACTCTAACAGAAACAGTCTAAATAACACTCTGCATATACCTTTTCTGCCACTCTGCAGATTAAGGAAAATAAAGTTTCAGTGACGAGAAACACACACATCTGACTACCCCATTTATTTCTTTGCTCTTGTGGATTCTTCTGGGTGGTTTTCCTCCTTATCTGGACTTGCCATTAGCGTTGTTTATCACTTTCAGTGTTTGGAAAATCTGTAACTCCCACTTAACTGTTATTTACACTGAGATAACCAAAACAAAATTGAATCAGAAGTGATTTGCAAATAGTTGAGCCAAGCAATGGAGGTACTTTACAGTGCTGTGTAAATTCATGGGCTGTGTATCCCTCTGTTAATCTTAGATGCCTGGTTTGAAAAGGCACTTAACAGAGGCCTAGTGAGTTCTTCCAGCCAGTATATCCCCTGTCCAGCCTAAAGGCTACCTTTCATTCCTTTCATTCTCTGTCTCTCTCCCTTCCTGCCCTTCTTTCCTTGGCTTGAGAGCACATCCACATTACTAAAACCCAAGATTTACTCTTATTTCCTATTTAAACATCAATTGTGAAGAAAGACGGCTACTCCCTAATATTTGATGCAGTAAAGAGGCATTCTGGATTTTGAACCTTAAGCAGAGATCCTGGCTTCTGTCATTGCCAAGATACCAACCTAAGGACAAATGACACCATCTACAGTGACAGATCCTGAATAAAGAGAGTCATTTAGTATCATCTTCCCCTATACCCCCAACCAGGCATGCCAGGCTAATCTAGCAAGTGCTCAACATGGAAGAATCCTGTTTCTAAGAACATTATAACCACAGTTTAGGTGAAGAGCACAGGGAAGAGGGGAGAGAGTGAAAAAGGAGACTGAGGCCCATTGGGAAACCATAACAATGACAGCTCTGGACTTCTGCTCTTGGGGTCTCAGGGTAGAGAGTTCCCATCCATCTGCTTCCAGGGTGCTTGGTCTGGCAGGGAGAAAGGTCAGTTTCAGCGTTCCTTTCCTGGACCTGATTCCCAGCATTGTGGATTTTGATTTTTCTGAGGTGTCCTAAAGAGGGAGCTAACTTACTTCCTTGGAGTCCTCAGCACGACAGCTGTAAGACCTCCCTCTCTCAGTGCACCTAAGGAAAGTCTGGATTTCCTGCCTTTGGGTAGAGGGTGAGCCTTTGGTTCAGAGCCCTGGGGAGTTCAAGCGGCCTGGCCACCTTTAATCCTCTAGGGGGCAGCACTCAATAAATAATGGTAACTACCTGCAGTGGCCCTTCTGGCGGTGCTTTTACTCCCAGGAGCTCAAAGCCGTTTTTCAGACTGGGGATGATTCAGAGTGTAGCTAAAGCTCCCCCAGCCCACTCCTAATAAGAGCTCCCAACCCAGGGAGAATTGCTTTAATCCAGGACTTCCGAGGACTTTGGGGAACTAAACACAAATCCCACATGTGCCTCATGGAAAATCAATCTTTTTAGGGAGATTCTCCAGACTGGGACTGGCTCAGACCTGCCAGCCCCAGATTTTGTCTGGACTAGAATCTCAGGGGTTTGGCTGCAAGTGGTTTAGTTTTGACCAGAGGTGCAGGGGTGAGGAGCCAGGCACTCTACTTTTCATTAGTTTGTGAGTCCATATCTTTGACCCGTGGAGAAGCCTGACTACTAGTAGCATTGGCAGAAACAACGAACTCATTAACAGAAACACAGAACTGACCAGCAAACAGCTAACTTGGTGAAGCTAAGATTCCTGGCAGCGTCACTGACTCACCTAGGATGTTTTTCATCATTACCCTTAATTGTGAAATAATAATAGATAATCCCATCCTACATTCCATTCCTTTGACAGGAAGGGATGTGAGGAACATAAAACAGATTTGTAAAAGATGCTGAGAGAAACCTAGCCACACCCCAGCAGAAGGTTGGGCGTTCCCAGCTAGACAGACCCAAACCCAAGGGCACATCAGAATCACCCCACACAAGTGGTAAAATTCAGAGCCCTGGGCGCCTCCTGAAGACTGCATTCTGGGGTGATGTCTAGGGATCTGTATTTTTAACACACGTTTTAGGTGGTTCTGATGCAAATGCTCAACAGGCCAGCAATTGGGAGCCTCTGTTCTGAGATACTGGATAGCCTTCCATGTATGTGCTCCCCCTGAAGGATGCCTGGACAAGTATTTCTTCACATTTCCTCTCCAGGCACTTTTCAGCTGGGGGGGCAGGTGTTCCAAGATTCTGGAGAAAGCCACCCGAATATGTCCTCAAAGATGTTAGAGTGGTAGAATTCGCAGCTTTACTTTGTGACATTTATTTAGCAGCAACAGCAAAGAGCCTTTTGAAAACACCAAGACCCTCTCCTCACAGGGGCGGGAGGTTTGCAGCAACAGTGTGCCAGCTGATGGGGTTTCTGGAGCTGGATCCAGCCCTTTCACCACCAACCCACTCAACCATTGGTTGTTACTGGAGGTTTGTTTCAGGTACAGTTTTCCATCTGTGCTCATCACATTGTACTTATTAAATGCTTATGGAAGCATGACTATGCAGGAGAAGTGCAAGCAAGTAAGACATTTGGGTCTTGTCTTCTGGGAACATAGGGTCTAAAAGCTCCAGAAGTTTCATGTTTCCATAGTAGATGCCACCTGTCACATGGTGCTTCCCCTTATCTAAACCCTAACATCAATAGGCTCTCACCCTGAAAGGGGGAGAAATGAGGCATAATTGCATCTTTATCTGTAAGTCACTACTTGCTCTAGTTAATCTTTAGCTGCATCTGTCTCAGAGGCAAAGCTTCAGTTAAAATGTAGGTCCTCATTTTTTACTCTCTTTGGTGTAAAGCTGAAGTTCAGGTTTCTGGTCAATGGGGTTCTTTCACACTCCCCCTTTTAACAATCAACATTTTTCTTTTATTCAATACAGTTGAACACCACCGAGTAGTTTCTATTTGATATTACCTTTGGTGGTTCCCAGAAACCTCACTGATTCCTATCAAGTATCGAAATCTCCTTTACTCTCAACTGCATCTCTTTCTCAGACACAGACACTAGATCAGGTAGGAGAGAACATTATGAATGGAAAAAGGAAAGATGAGGGAAATGTGCAGATTCATTCTGACATCCCTGGAAACTAAAGGAATCATATTGCTCCCTCTACACTACTTGGCTTAAGCATGAGACAGCTTTCTCTCTGCTACTTAAGTTTTGTCCATTTGAGGCATCAGTGCTTCAAAAATGATACCACCAACCCTTCTATTTAGAGCAGCATTTTTCAAGACAACTTTCTGCAATGAAGGAGATAGCTGTGCTTTTCACATGGCTACTGTGCATTTGAAATGTGCCTCTCATGACTAAGTGAATTTAAAATTTTAATTTTATTAAATATAATTTCTGAGCCCCTCGAAAAAATATGGATTCCATATGTGTTTAATGGCTGCCATATTGGATAGCTCAGCTTTACATAATCAAAACACCAGAGCTGGGGATTTCCCACAGAAGCCCACAGAAATTTACACCCTTGTAAGTCTCTGAGACTATCTATCTTGTTTCCCCAAAAGGGAACCTCAATTCAGCAGAGGCATCATTTGAAAATGTTTGGTGTCTATGTGGCAAGGAAGAGAAGGGCTGGCTCATATTACTGCCTGTCACCCATTGCCCCTCTGTGCTCTCTTGGTTGATTTTTCTGGAGCACTGACCAGGAATCAAAGGCTTCAAAGTACTGTCCTGACTTAATGGTCTTAAGCTCCAGTCCTTGGGAGAGAGAAGCAGGTTGGGGCAGCAGGAACCTGAGGTTAGGGCAATGGACCTTAGGTCTCCACTGCCCTTGGGTGGTGAGAAGTCTTTTAACCAATCTGGGACCAGTTGCCTCCCCTGTAGAATGAAGGGGTTGGCTTCTACCTCCTTTAGGTTTTGAATTTTGGTTGGGGATTTGTCCTCACTCCATCCTCATTCTTACATTTCAAACTGGTTTAAGTCTTAATTTCATAGCCACCTTAAGTAAGTGACCTTAATAATCATTTATCTCTCAAGAAGATGTTAATGTATGGATGGGGCTCAATTGGATATTCCATTATCAGGGTACCTTTTCTCAAAGAGAAATAATGGCAAGTATGTCAGGCATCTTCTCAGGGTTTCAGAGGAGATATTTTTGGACAAAGCCCTTTCCTAGACCCTTGAATAAAATGCAGCTTCCACTTGACAGTCAAAAAGGCCAAGAACTTATTTGTAACTTCATGGCATTTGTAGGTGATGCAATTGGAAATTTCAGGGATACAATGTGAACTTTTTTACTGTTCAGGAAAATCGTACATTGAGCTGACAATTCCCAGTCTCATACTAAATTCATAGATGAGTATTCTTGGAAACTGAATCTTCTATCTATGGGTGTGCACTGCTCTTTGTTCACAGATATACACATGTGCTATCAAAGACCCACTGATTTGTAAGGGACTTTTTTTCTTTCTTTTTTTTTTTAGTTATTGCTGCTTTTTGAATTTGTAACCTGTGACTTATGGTGCCTTAATTAGACATCTACGTGTCAGGTGATTGTTACATTATGATGGCAATAGCTGCTAATTTGAGCATGGAAGTCATGATGGAAAGGCAAGATTCAGGGAGCTGACCTTTTGCTATTGAGGTACTCCAGGGTGGGTTAATTCACACCCACCATAGTCATTAGTTCCCACTCTCCTTCTTCATATTTACTCCTACACAGTTTACTGAGCTGCCAATCAACCCTTAGTATCTGCATGAGACCCCTGATGGGGATGGGGCTTGGAGTGATGCTTGCTTTTTGCAGGAGCCTAGAAATAGTTTGTAGAGGCCATCTCCTTCTCCATCTCCAACTTGGATTCTATTTATTTTCCAAATTAAACAAAAAGAATAAGTAGTACATCTTAAACATTTTTCAAACAGGATGAGAAGATATTCAGTGAAAACGAAAGCTTCCCTCCCATCCTGACCCCCCAATTTTGCAGTTCTCCTCTCCATTGAAAGAAGTCCTGGGTATCCTCCAAGAGATCCTGAGACTATGTTGCAAGGTAAAAGCCAAACCCTGTTTTATCTTTTTCCCCAGCCTCCTCCAGCACTCCTTCCGTCCCTCTGCCTCTCCTCTAGCCCTAAGCTGTAATGATCTTGAAAACCATTAGGGGGCAGCTGTGACCAGAAAAGAAAACACCAGAGAAAATGCAGACCTAAAATTCAAGAGGAAGAGATGCAAAAGGAAATGAAAGGAATGCTAAGGAGAGAGATCAGCAAAAGCAAAAAAGGAAAAAGGAAGCAGAAATATACAAATGCAAAGCATTACAAAATAAAAGGAAATGGAGAAGGAAGTTATAATACTAAAAAGCCTAAAGGAAGTGTATGTGTTAAGAGGGGGGAAATTTCCAAAGGTTAGGGATTATTTGAGTTTTGTTGTTTCTGTTTAAAAGCAAACCTGTAGAACCCAAACTGGCTCAATGTTAGCCGGAAAGTACGAGGTTATCTTTTCTGAACAGGAAGACATTATCACACTGGGCTTTACATTCCTAGGACTATTTTCAGCTGAAGGGTTCAGAGTGCCCTGTGTCCATTTGGGCTTGTGACATGGGAGGTGGGGATGGGGAGGAGCAGACCCTTTCCTTACATCTTCAGAATGCGTAAGAGTGCTTTCAACCCTCAGCAAGGCAGCAAAATTAGCCTAAATACAAAGGTGCAATTCTATTTCTCAATGCAGCAGAGCTCAGAAATGAGGCACCAGGTTTCTTTTGAAGCTGACGCCATAATCAAAGTGCTTTCAGGTGTAGTTCAGGCAAACCTCCCCTGGTTTCAGCAGGTTAACTTCATTAAAGCTCCTGGCTACTGCTTTAATGTTTTCTCAGCTTCCCCCCTGGGTACATTAGGTCCTCATGGGAGCTCTGTTCCCTGATGTTTTGCATTGTGAATGGAATGCAGGGGCAACATTTATGCTGGGATAATACGAAATTGAGAATTGCTTCTAGAGCTCAGTAAATATGATCACTTTTATTTTAGTCTTCTTTTCCCTTTGTAATCCCAATTTTGCCTCGCCAACTTTAGAATAGACAACAAAAACTTGAGGAAACCCTGTTCTAGGGTCACCAGACAAAACATTTCATGCCTGGCCAGCCTGTATTTATTATTTGCTAAATCTGATTCAGAAGGCAGAATACTCCCAGGCTGTCCCAAGCCCTATTCCCAATGGCACTTATCAAAAAATCGGATGAAAATTTCATTTCAGGATCAAAGGCACTTGCTCTCAATCACCCCTCACAGTTGCTAGACTCATATATGTACAGAAGACCCAGGATGGGTAGGGAACACTCTGGGCAAGCTGAGGTTATTAAAGAAACAGCCTGGGGTGCAGATGCCTAAGGAGCCCCTACACCTATCGAGGAAGCTGGAGCTTTCTCAAGCATGCCCTGGAGTTGTGATGAATTGGGGTAAGTTGCAAGATGAGCTGGTTCAAACAGTGGTCATTCTGCAAAATTTGGGCTTTCCCCTATAGCCTGAAGTCAGAGGCTCTCTTCAGCCCTTTCTCTCTCATTCTTTTTCTTGGACATGGAGTCCTGGAGTTTAGTTTCTAAGAAATTTTAAAAATCATACTGGAAACTTGGCCAAATAAATACCTCTTCTGACCAGAAGCAATTTGCCTTGTTTTAAACAAGTCCCCTAAAGTTAAATTACAAAGCAAGTTTGTCTCTTTGTTAGAATTTGGTTAGGATCTAGGATGTTAAAAAGTGCTTCCCATTTGATTTCCCATTTGATTTGATCATAATTTAGAAGAAGTAAATGTAATTTCTGACCTTTCAACACATCTGAAGCGTGTTTTCCTGTTGCTATACCCAACTGACAGGATTATCACAAAGTCTGTGGATTCTCTACAACTGAGCACCCCCAGCTCTCAGAAAATGGAAAAGCTGCACCTCAGGGCTGAGGAGTATTCTGGGTAAGTCAGCCTAATAACATTAATAATTAGGTTAACAGTGTAAGATGACAAGACATGTCAGAGAGAACTCAGGGCCTTGAACCAGGGTCAGGAGACTTAGTTTCTGGGTCTAGCTTTTTAATTGATGTTGTGTGGTGTCTTGTATCACATTCTTTCATTTCTCTGGATTCTATTTCCTCGCTCATAAAAGGCATGCTGGTAGCAATGGCCCTACCAAATTTTTCAGACAAATCTATACTTGCTTAAAGCGGGGTCCACGTTGGAGCCCTCACTGATTCAAAAAGCGTTTATTGAGCATGTACTATATATGTCAAGCCCTGTGTGGGTGGAACACTAGTAAGTATATCACTGAAAATGGCTCATCACAAGAGCTTTACTTCCTAGAGGGAAAGACAGGTAACACCCAAGTCAACAATGAGCAGGGTCATTTCCAATGGTGATAGTGAGTTCTAAGAAGAAAACAAAACAAGATAATGTGATAGAGACCAGTAAACAAGCAGACAGGACATCTGGGTTAGCCTTTTCACTAACCAAATCTCTACTATAACCAAATAATCTAGCTCAGGTTCAAACTCTCATCTTGAAAATAAAGGGTTATACTCTATAGGTGTTTTACAAAGTTCAGATTGAAGTCCACTGATGTTATGAAATCAACTTAGAAGTTTGTGATTAACATGTTTAAAAGTGCAATAGATCAAAATGAGGGTTGATACTGTTCCATGAAACTTGTTTCCATTTGTGTATATATATTTCACCCACAAAAACATACACACAAGTGTTCTGGGTCACATGTAAAATATATTTCTTTTGTGGGTTTCAGTGGGTTAGGTAATCTCTAAAATATTTTTAAATTCTCAAATTCTATGATTCTATTAAATTTTTATAGCAGGGGCCCAATGGAGCATTGTATTTGCTTGATCTTACTTATTATTGAATAAATAGAAGCATTGCTTATCAGAGAATCCCAGTGTTTAACCCAGTTTCATTTCAGACACATGGCTGGTGCTTAATAAATGTTTTTTGAATTAATGGAAACATGAGATTTATGCACCAGGTCTTGAAATGCATACAGCAACCTAACGTGAATTAGCAAATAATTTATCAGCCAGTGTATCAAAATAATATTTTTCCAAATGCCAGCATTAAAAACCAAATTCAAAATTATATCACCCTTGTAGTCCCCTTTTCTTAGAGTTCACAGAAACAGTTAAGATTTTTTTTAAAAAAGACCTTATAACATATTCTTCTCCCATATAGTACAAACTGCCTTCTTTCACTTGTAACTGTAATTCAATAAACCTTTAGAATGTTTAAAGAAAGAAAAGAATTAGTGGGGAAATTTTTCTACTTTTTGTCCTTGGGGATCCAGATAATTCTGCCTTCCTAAAACTGCCCTTGTGAGTTTTCATTTCTTTAAGTCACCTATTTCAAAGCAGCAGCAATCTTACTTTAACTCAGACTTTTCCCCTTAGTTATAGCTTAAGTAGTAGGTTTCTCAGTGTCAGTCATTTCTGAAAATTATACATTTGATTAGAAATAGATGACCCAAATCTCCCATCCTTCCTTGCCTACATCCCTGGTTGACATCCTTTGGGATGGGAGAATCAGATGGAGGGAATCCCATTGAGGAATCAATGATACATCACCCTTAAGAAAGACAAGAGTCAATGGACCCTGCTCAGAGCCCCAAGCACATACCCATGAGTTAATTTTCAAGTCCATTTCCTTAATTGCCTGGAAATCCATGGCCAGGCAAATTGACTCAGAGTTTAGGATTGCTACACCCAACCTTCTGTATCTATTTGCTCCTGCCTTCTCAAGGCCGAGACACAAAGAAGAAACATCAGCACCCCACAGCCCAGTCACATTGCAACTGCTTGCCCAGCTCCGTCCAAGACTGGCCATGGTTGTGCTGTTAATGGGTACCTTGGTTCATGCAAAAATGTGTTCTTGAGCTATGACATAGGAAATCACATTTTTGTCAATGGAAATATATTATAAATAATCTGAAGGAAGGCACTGTTTGAAGAAGCTCATATTTTTAAAGTAAATAAGGATCCCAGAATTGATCAGCCCTATAAGATTAGACTGACCTGGAACTAACGTATTTGCTTCAAGCCAGTTCTGAAATAACTGTTTAGACCAAAATGTGTAAGAGCTATGAAAGTCTTTTGCATTATTTTATGGTCTTTATTTGTATTGTTATTGTTGTTATTATTGCTCCTGTACTAATGATAAATTTGCCCAGGTCAGGAAAATATGATATAGTCACATTTTTTTTGCAATGCCAAATAGGAGGCATATCAAATGCAAACCAGTCCCATGTATTCTCTAAGTAATTCCAAGTTTTGTAGGTTTTCTCCCGGCAAGATCCCTCATAGAATTATTTCAACAATGACACTCTAGTGCAAATATGCTAAGACTCGAAATTTTTTTTTTTGGTAGCTGAAGTTAACTGTGCTCATCATTTTGAGACACAACACCCAACCCACATTGAGAAATGGCAGCTTTCAGTTAAACAAATGCAAAGCTGTATTTAGGCTCTTTTGCAACATTGTGATGGAAAGAAATCAAAGCTGCTTTTGCTGCTATTTTGAAAATACTCACCAGGGCAATTCCCTCAGAAATACTGTTATGAAAACTTTTGTATTTTGATCCTTTCTTTCCCAGGGTAACATGTTTGGAGAAACCCCAGACCCAATGAAAATGATTTTAAAAAGTCAATTTGAACAAACGCTGCTATGGTATTTGCTAGAGTTAATAAAAAAATAAGCCGCAGACTCTTAAAATGTGGTGCTAGGACAGTTGTTTCAAGGGGAGGGAGATGCTTACAGTCAGTGGAAGGAGTGTCAAGTTTGAGATCCTCACTAAATATTTCAGACGAGGCCCTTTCCCTTTTGCTAATTGTGAAATAAACAGATCCCGCCTGCTCCAGAGCTGCATGAACAGTCCCCCTGCCTGTAGGCACAGGGACATCAGTGTATTCATCACACAAAGAGTAGTTGGCTGAACAGGAAATGAAACTCTAAACTCCCGACACCAAGTTCTGTACTTCTACCATAGGGCAACATTCAGACTCCAAACTCCAGCTCTCCTACCTCTTTCCACATGGTCTGCTTACTCACCAGCCTACAAAAGAGCTTGGTAAAGATGCCAAAAGAAATTTTGCAACATACTGCTAATCAGCATCAGCAGGCCTAACTGGGGTAGATCACCAGGATGGTGATCTAAAAAAAAGAAAAAGCCATGTAGTAGAAACATGTCACCCTACAACAGCATTTACTAAGCACCTAACTGCACCTGGAGGTGCTGGGAGCCATGCAAAGAGAGGGCTACTCCTCCAGCACATCTGTGAGTACACATCACAGAGGGACACTGTCTGAGCAAGACAGGGAAGACCCAGGCATGACATGCAGGCAGTAGATACACACTCCTGAGTGATGGCTTGTGTTTTGTTGGTGTGGACGAGCTCTCCAGGAACAAGCAGAAAGGCTGTGCTGGTGTGAGGAGAACCACTGAATGCTATTTTCACTATTTCTGATGGGAACCAAGGTAAAACAACTCCCATCTAAATGGGGACATCAAAAAGTTGCCATTGTTTGTCATGTTTCATTCTCAAAAATAGAAATATTTCAAATATCTTCTTGTTGTTTTGTTGTTGCTGAAAAACATTACTGTGCTTAGCCTGAGGAGGGGGCATGGTAAAGCAGAAAGAGCGTTGCTTTAAGGGATAAGTGTGCTTTCTGTCATTCACCGGCCTTGCAAGCAGGTTTTACTCGACACTCTGGGTCTCTATTTCTTCCTGTATAAAATGAGGGGGTTGGAATAGACTGGTCTCCCCCAAAGATCAGTGTTCCTTCTACTCCACGGTTCTGGGAAGTGTGAGCTCACTGGACATTTGTATCAATACCTTCTCTCAGCATGTGTTCTTTCAGAGGCAGTTGGCTTTACATGATCTCAAACAGTCATCTGTACCTTAGAAGAAAGAGCCTGGCAATTTATAGGTTAGCACCCTTTGTCCCAAAGCGTCAGAGTTAGGCTCAGGGGGCAGGAATGCGAACATCATAAGGGTCAAAGGTCATGGCCTTTCTGGGAAGAAACCCAGACAATTTCATACCTGAGTGGCAACAGGGTCTTAATCCAGGCCAGTTGCAAGGTACCTTTCATTGGATTATTCCCTTAGAGGCCCTGAGTAGAGGAGTGCTTCATTCAGAGGGGACTGGGCAGTGTAAGTCAAGTCCAGGCTGGAGTTTTCTAAGTGACTATAGAAAGACAGTTTGGTAAACTGAAAAGTGAATGTCCTGGTGCCCATAAGCATTGCTGTTTTGGAGACAATTTAGAAGTGTCAGTGTGTGGTAACAACCCCAGGCTATTTCCCTAAGATATACGTGGTTTAAACAGTGATATGAGATCACAGACCGATGCTAAGGAACAGTGGAATGCTGGGAAAAGCACATGTTGGCATAGGACTTTGAAAATGCTTATTTGTACTGGCACCTTCTGGGCAGGAGCAAGGTCCTGACACATACAAAGAAATAGTGGTACTTTTGTAAGAGCAGAGAAAGTGTGGTGGTGGGGCGGGGGTGAGACAATTCAACAGATGTGGGTGGATCCTGCATTGGGCTCCCAGCTGACTGAGTGGTAGAAGTGATTTCACTTACTGCTGATAAAAAACAGAATGCACACACACTGAGACATCTTACAAGTGCACACGTCTCCAGGATAAGTCAACAGAAAAGTAATCTATACGTAACCAAAGTTTGTGAAGGAGCCAGATAGCCTTGTAGCTTAAGAAAGTACAAAAAAAAAAAAGCTTTGCTAGCAGGGAGAATATGAGCCTCATCTATAATCTCAGGGAAGTCTGTGGGCAGAAGATAAATGCTTGCAGTGTGAGATATCTGATTTAAAATGTGACTATAACTAAAGAAATTCAGAGAGAGAGCAACGAACAACAGCAAGTTGCCTCCTGAAGTCAAGCACACACTATGTCTTTCCTGCTT